TATCTGGAATTTCAGAATTGAGAAATCAGAATTTCAAAGAAGATAACTGGAATCAAAACTAAACATTGAGCAAATTAGGACATGAAAGTGATACTATTTTATTAGTCAAGAGCAGGGGTAGGCAACCTTGGCTCTTTTATGACTCGTGGACTTCAACTCCCAGAATTCCTGAACCAGCATAGCTGGCTCAGGAAATCTGGGAGTTGAAGTCCACGAGTCATAAAAGAGCCAAGGTTGCCTACCCCTGGTCAAGAGTAAAGAATTAATTCTTTATAAATGTAAAAGGAAAAAATGGAAAATTTGATTTACTTAAATGCTGACAAAGGTAATATAAATCTGCATGCTGGCTGAATTAAAAGTTTGTGGTAAAGAAGTGGAAAGCAGTAAGTAATTTTGTTGGGTTTTTTTTATTCCAGAATATATTATGGAATTATGGAACCCCTAATCCCCAGGGTGATTTGGCAGCCCTCTCTTTTAGCATTTCAGAAGACCATCAAGACCTGGCTTTTTATCCAGTTGCCAGGATAGAATCAGGATATAATTACTGGGTTTTATTGTTGTTATGAACTGTCAAGAGTAGTGTTCAAAATGTATACATACAAATGTAGGCTAACTTTTAATATTTCTTGCTCTGAACCGTAAAGGCAGATGTGACTTTGCTTATGCATTTTCTCAATTTAAGAGAAATCCATAATACATGTTGTGGCAAGAAAACCGCGATGTCACGTGACGCGACTTTTTTCCCATTGCCGGCAATGGGGTGGGCGCGGTTTTGGTGTGACGCATTCGGCCCGCGGGCCAGCAGTTTGACACCCCTGACCTAGACACCTTGCAATATCCCTGTCCCAAACTCTCCAAGGGTCATCAGCAAATGCAACCAATCCCATCTTTGTGCTATATACCGGCCTGAACCTAGACTGAAAAGAGCTCAAATAATTTGCTTCATCCATGGCTCTCTGAAGCTGAGAATTACCCCTTAATCAATCTTTCCAAATGGTTGGAGGCTGGACAAAAGTTGTCTAGCAAGGCTGCGTCAAGGAAGGTCTCTTGAGAAGGAGGAGCACCATCTCCTCCTTCAGGGCAGGAAGTATACCCCCTCCTACAAAAAGAAATTAGCTACCATTTGGACCCAGCCACATGCCACTTCCAGGAAGCTTTAACAAAGAGGGGCACAGATCTAGAACACAAGTAATCAAGCTCACAGCTGCAACGACCCCATTCACTTCTTCAGAATAAACTGGCTCAAAATCCTCCTAGATAACAGGGTTCAGATGTGTTGTAGTCACTTCCAAAAAAAAACCTGCCTAGCCAAAGTCCAATTCCAAATGAAGTTGAGAGACTTTATCTGATAGATGCTGAGAATTTTTCTTCACAGTTAAAACAGATGGAATAGTTGCAAATAGTGTGTCAGAGAAATATAGAGAAGGTAACTGTAGAGTAGAAGGCAAAGAAACCTAGAAAAGATCAGACAAAATAAGGACATTTCAAAATCAAAGCAAAGATCAGAATAATTAAAGCATAGTCTTTCTAATAGTAATGGGACTGTTGTGAAAACTGGACACTGGGAAAGACTGAAAAACATACACCTTGGATTTATGGATCTGGAGGTCATTACAAAGAGTATCAGGGTCTGCAAAAGAAACAGTCAATCAGTTCTGGATCAAATAAAGGCTAATTGCTCTCTTGAGATAAGAATCAGCAAGAAGAAACTTAAATACTTGATGTGAATGCATGATGGATTAAAAAGAATTATTGTGCTTGGCAAGAAAAGCAAAAAAGGAAAGTCAGTGGATACAGTGGATAGTAGGGATCAAATGAATCCTTGGAAAGTCCCTGAAAGAGTAATATAATTGTCAGAACAAGCTTGTGAACTTTTGCTCATAAGGTCACCATTTATTGTAAACAGTATATATCAACTGGAAATCTTGGAAGGCCTTCTGTTCTTTATTTTCCACACTTTTGCACTATATTATTAAGCTACATATGAAAGTTAAATCTTGAATAATTATCAGTATTTTTATGAGATGAACTGATGGTATCAGTTCAAACCTGAAACAAGTGGCTAGCTCACAAATGATAAAAGGCAGAATTTGCTTTCTGTTCTTATTTTCCACTTTTGTAGTATATGCACTAATACAAAATAATAAAGACAAGCTAATTCCTATCCAGATATCTAGGAGGTGGAAACTGGGAACTGTTATGTAAAACTGAAAAATACAGCAATAGATTTTTTAGATCACTTTCCACTGCTGAACACAAAGTCAAGTGCTCAACAAACTAAGTAAAAGACAAGTTATATCTTTTGTTACTAAATCCTTGACAAGTGATTTTTGAATAGCAATGTTATTGACATTATTAGATTTTACAATGCATGCTGATTAATACTCAAATTCCAAATATTTTAACAATGTAGTTCCATATGCTAACTTTTAATATTTCTTACTCTGAACCGTAAAGGCAGATGTGACTTTGCTTATGCATTTTCTCAATTTAAGAGAAATCCATAATACATGTTGTGGCAAGAGATAATGCTTACTTACATACATGCAACTAAAGATTTAACTGAAAACAGCAAATAGGATCATCCAAAATTTTCCTTGTACAAAGAATTTACTATAACTCATCCAGTAAAAGTAAAAGTACAACTAAAGAATCAGTTTTATAGAAAAGGAAAGGAGAAGCCAATTTACTCACATCCTGAAAGTAGATTAGACAATATATTTTAAATGATCATCTCTCAGTATTTGTCATCCACAAATACTTTTATGAGTGTTTTTATTACCAATAACATACAGTTAACAACTGAATGCATTTATTCCTGACATTTAAACTTAATTGTCAATACTTCTATTACTAAAGCAGTCCCATGTTCCAAACAGAGGCTCCCCACAAAGAGAGAAAAACAGTGGTCACTGTCAGGTTTTAGAGAGCTGTCAAAGTTGAGGAAAAGTCAGCTTTCTTAATCACCTTACAACATTGCTTCTTAACTGCTTTTTGGATACTACGAACATTTGACATAAGTTTTATCATACTAAATGATTCTCCTTCAATCCTCAGCAAAAAAAAGTTTTTATTGCGTAAGTTTTAAGAATTAAAAAAACTGAAACAAACAGCAAAAGGGTGATTAGAATGTTGATTTGGAAAGTTATACAGGTAATCCCTGAGTTACAAGTGTTCACTTAACACTTGTTCGAGGTTACGTGACAAGCGCTCCCTAGTATTTACGAGCAAGTCCCAAATCACAAATATTGCAGCACCACGGCAGTCGTTCACCCTTACGAATAACTACAGAGGCTCTGCAACATTCACCCTATTCCCCGCCACACAACTGCTTCCCCCTCCCTTCCTGCCACACCGGATACACTCACCTTGCAAAATCTGACTTCTCTCTGCCACGGTTGCCTTCCCTTTGAGGGAGAGGAGAGTTGGCTTGGAAATGCTTTTTGTGTCGACCATGAAAGCTCCTGGGTGCCATAATATCGCACGACTTCAAACACAAATTCTCTGCAAAAGACATCATGGCCCCCAGAAGCTTCCATTCTCAGGGGGAGAATTGTTTGCTTTGTTTGCATGCGTATGAGGCAAAGCGTGTAATCAGAGTTGGCCGGGCACAGGAACGAATGCCATCCGTTGCCCGGGTGTGCTGCTCACTTGCATGCGCCGGCCTTAGTTTGAAGGCAGAAAGGAAGCCTTCAATTGAGCAGGGAGGCATCGTGGAGCCAGGTCCCTTGTACCTGGGTCCAAGCTGCCTGAAGGCAGGACAAGAAGCAACGGATGGAAACTCATCAAGGAGAGAAGCAACCTAGAACTAAGGAGAAACTTCCTGACAGTTAGAACAATTAACCAGTGGAACAACCTGCCTGCAGAAGTGGTGAATGCTCCAATACTGGAAGTTTTTAAGAAGAGACTGGACAGCCATTTTTCCCGAAATGGTATAGGGTTTCCTGCCTGAGCAGGGGGTTTATTATTATTATTATTATTATTATTATTATTATTATTATCTTTACCAGTGATGGGATTCAAATATGTGAACAACTGGTTCTCTGTGTGGATGCCGCTTCCAGAAGTCCATTCTGAGCCTGAGCAACAAAAAATTAGCTACTGGTTCTGCCGAAGTGGTGCGAACCGGCTGAATCCCACCACTGATCTTTACTAAGTCCTATTGTCACTGCAGCCTTTATATTGAGACTGTCTCCTCTGAAAAAAGGGATTCCACACCCAGTCTGAATGGTTTTAACCTATATCTATTTGTCAACATATCTAAATGTGAACGCACGAGGGTCAATAGGTAGAAGCAACAACAGTTTTTTCTCTTCTTGGCAGGCATCTTCTAACATGGCTATAATATCATTCATTTCAACAGCTAAGTCCTAAGGCAGCCTTACTGATTTCAAAGTGAACGCCTAATCTACAAATAGTGGCTATCCTGATCTTCATTAGCCATCCAAATGGTGGTAAGTATAGTCATATCCTGATTCAAGTAAGGGCAGCAAAAATAGCAAAAGTAACCACATCTCACTGACTATATTGCCAATATGATGTTGTTTTATCCACTGTTCACATGTGCACCAATCCAGCTGAACCAGTTTTCTAAGTCTTCTCTTCTATCTTCTTCTCTTTGCCACTTGACTGTCTCCTTATAGACACAAACCTTCAGTTATCTTTGACATAGATTTATGCTGCCCTTTCACATGAATTTACAACCATCAACCATCATATAAGACAAACCAAGATGACAGAAATGACATCTTAATCCAAGCCACAATTTGTTTTCCAAAACATACCTTCTATTCTGCAGATTCATACTCTCAGCATACGCACACATGCACAAACATACTCACAAATACCAAAAAGGAAATATATAGTGATTGTGACCAGGAAGGAGGTACCAAGAGTTAAACATTCATCAATGAAAATACCACTGTTTGAAAGCTATGGAAATGGTATTATTATGAAAAGTACTGGAAAAAATTAGTATTATAATACTAGACAGAACTTACGGATTTCTTCAATAATATCTGGATCACATTCTTTGTATTTATCTACTTCTGTCTTTAGATGGTCTTTCTTCTGTTGTAAGGCACTAAATTCCTTTATTAGTGCTGCACGTTCTGCCTGAATACATTTAATTTGGGAGAATCCAAAATAAAATAATCATCATTATCATTACAATTTATCAAGGTTTATGGTCACTGCCCATACAGAGAATCCAATTTCTTTCAAATCTAGCAGATAAAACTGGTGCACTGTAACATTTTTTCTATCATATATAAGTGCAATATAATTATGACAGTAATACAATGAGACAGGATTTCTATTTTATTTATTTAGCATATGCAAATTTAGTTTAAATATAATGTCAGTGTGTCTGTCTATTTTTATACACACACACACAGAGGTAAAATCCTCAACTTACAGTTACAATTGAGACCAAAATTTCTGTTGTTAAATGAGACATTTGTTAAGTGAATTTGCCCCATTTTACGACTTTTCTTGCCACACTTGTTAAGTGAATCATTGCAACTGATAAGTTAGTAACCCAGTTGTTAAGTGAATCTGATTTCCCCATTGACATTGCTTATCAAAAGGTCGCAAAATGTGAGCATATAACCTTGGGACATAGCAAGTCATAAATATGAACCTGTTGCCAAGCATCTGAATTTTGATCACATGATCATGTGATGCTGCAAAGATCATAACTGTGAAAAACAGTCATTAAGTCACATTTTTCAGTGCCGTTGTAACTTTGAACGGTCACTAAATGAACTGTTGTAAGTCGAGTACTATCTGTATATATAAAATTAATATGTGGACAATACAATATAGAAGATAATATATTAAGTAAAGATAAAACCAAAATAAAATCACCATAATATGGAGCCATGGAATTTCAATGGGATAGATATAATCTGATATCTAAGGAAGCTAACCATCTAACTGCTTCTAGTGTGGCTGCGGTGAAATCATCCCAGGTACCTTGAAATTTCCTGAGGGGCCATTCTTGAACTATGAAGTATATGAAGGGATATGAAATATAGACTACCTCCACAATGGTATACCCCGGGCAACGTACTGTCTTAACAGGGCAGCTAAAAGTCTATATACACAATAACCGAACTGGACATTGCATCTCTTATGGTCAAAAACTACAGAGGCAGCAATTAGACAGGATTTATACTATCTGTTAAATATATATTTCAGGGCCAAGTAGAAAAGCATGTGTATTTTTGGCAATAATGGTTTAAGTAGGTACAGATTATTAGAATGAATCTCTAGTTACAGTCCTTATAAATCCATGTTCATAATCTAGTATGGTATGAATACTTTAAAGGAAAGTGTAACAAATTAAAAAAGGATTTAGAAATAAAATGATTTCTAAAATATATTTAGAATTTCAAAGAAACTCCCCTCATGTAACATATAATAGTACTATTTCAGAGCTGTGTTTTAGGTCAGAGATCCCCAACCTTTTGGGCACCAGGGACTGGTTCCGTGGAGAGAGGTTTTTCTGGGGACCGTAGGATGCGTGGTTTTGTGTGCTGCCTGCATCTCGCGGATAGGGCTTTGCTTGTTTGTGCGGACCAGTTGTTGGCATGCGGTGGCCCAGTACTGGGGGTTGGGGACCCCTGTTTTAAGTAACACAGATAACCCTGCGCTTTATAGCTGCCACTTACTCAAAATCCATATTTTCATCCTGACCACTATATTTCAAATTGGAATTCCACCTGAACTTGGGGCATGGCAAAATAGGGATTCCATGGTATTCCCCCCCACACACCAGATTTTTTTTAAATTATTTCAGAAGGCATCATAAAAGAATACAAAATGTCACACGATTTAATGATATTAATGTCATGCAGTAATTTTTAGGGCCTTTAAGCCACCACGCAAAATTACACATGGCAAATGGGGTTTGATTCGTTGCTAATCAGTGTTCCAAAATAAAACGTACAGTATCTTGCCGCCCAATTTTTGATTGCTTGATGCTTTCTTCTAAATCCTTTTTCTTCTGACAATATTCTGAGAACTAAAGGAAAAGAAAAATATTATATAATTAATATTTATATTCAATATTCATTTTTTAAATTTCATTTTCATTTTAAGAAATGACATTTAGTTTCAAATGGTCTTAGATTTCTATAATATGTCTGTTCGTAAGATGGCTATTATGGTTAATTAATCATAACAAAATATCCATTTACTGGAAGATTATTAAAGGATAGCTTCTTTCTGCTGGATAACAGAATTATACAGTGCAAACATATGTGGAAAGAAAGACACTTAAGATAGGAATATATATTTTTTAAGAAAGCATTTCTCTGAGATAGGAAGTAGGTGATGAAAATCCAAATATCAGTGTAACCAATAAGTGATACTTTATACCTAGACCGACACAGGTAGAATATTCATGCATGCAAAGATGAATTCTCCATCATACTAGCTTATTTTGCTTTTTTTCTGTGCAGATCAGTAATCTTAATAAAATATCAAGCTACAGCCAAACCATTCATTTTTATTTCTCCAGGATTATCAAAGGGGACTAGGTAAGTCTTAAAAGTCTTATAATGCTAATAGCTGGTGCTTTGCAGCAAGTCAACATTCACTTATTATTTTTAATTAAAAATATTTTTTTAAATTAAAATAGGTAAAGAGTTTATCCGAAGAAACTGTTCATTAACAAACTTGAGCACATCAGCAATACACTGCTTATCCTATCATATCATATTCATATCTATTACCAGACATCAGTGTCAAGACATATGCTTTTTATGTTAATGTTTATGGTTCAATCCTTTGCTGCTTTATGCAGAAATGGAAAAAAATATCTTTCTAACACAAACTATTACATTTAATGAGGAGGTGCAAGTGTGAAATAAGATATTACAGTTGTTGTGAGAACCACCATTCACAAAGTAATAAGCAAAAATCATACACCAAACCAATTATAAAAACAAAGCATAACTAAAAACCGCCGATCTCGTTCAAAGGTCAATTTAAACTCTGATTTAGTGATAAATGGGGCTAGCTGAAATTCATGTGACATTTAAAATCTTTCACAAACAATTATTATAATTTTATATATTTATGAGATTTAGATGACTGCAGGTCTTTTATACAATAACCCTGGGTAGCTCACAAAAACAACAATAAAACCAAAGAAAAAACAGTAACAGCCTAAAAAATAAAAACAGTATAAACAGCAAAAACCAACTCCCAAAGCCCAAGAACCAAACTCCTTTATGTTGACATTTATACCTCACCCTAGCCTCACCCTAGTCCAACACTTAGGAGAAGAGCCACTCCCTCAAGATCTTCTAGATTCTGAAGGCTAAGAGGTGGGAGGCTTGCCAACTCTCAGGGCAGTGGCTGCCACTGAGAAGTTACACTTTTTGGATTTCATTAGATGACAACACTTAAGGGAGGGGACCCTGGGATATACCTTCCCTATTCCACTTGGTGGAATGGGCAAACATCCTTAGGGAAACAAGGTCCTTCAAATAACATTCAGGGTTTTAAAGGTGCTATTCAGACTTTTAATTGCAACCAGTACCTTGCAGTAAAACAGCTGAAAAATGACTAAGCCATGAGTGACTATGATAAATGTATTTTATCAGTTTGTGTGTATATACAAACATATATTACATACCGAAAACACGGCTATATAGGTGGCATAGTGTATGTGTATTAAATTTATCAAATGGTTTTCTAGAGGGGGTAATTGGTTTAATTTATGGCAACAGAACACACTCATTGGCTTATCAATTCCTTGAAGATAATTTGTTAGGTTTTAAAACAGTTCTTCTCACACCTGGGTAAATTATCTAAAATCAGGTAAACCGTGTTTTTTTCTTCAGCTAATAATACACAAATCACAGGGACGTTTAAATAAGGACATTCTGATAAGTATTAAAAATAACTTTTTGATAAATGGTTTTGGCAATGAAGGAAAAAGTTTGGGAAGTGCTACTTTAAGATGTCACAATAAATCTCTATTTTTGATGAACTAATCTTAACTTTGTAGATGGCAGCAGCTGCTGATAAACTTATAGAAAGGCATTCTTAAAAGTTTGAAAGGGTATAAATTCTGCATGAATTTAATAAATACAGAAAAAGTGCTATAATCTCAATATTTTATATGTTCTGAATTTAAGAATCTGAATAATCAGCAGCATGTCTTTTTAATATCTGTAAGTATATAGACTATTGGATGAGTTGCTGTATTTTAATGTCTCTGAAATGTTTGCTAATATAGCAATTTTCATGATCGGATTTCCAGCTAAAACTGAGAATGGTCCAACAGCATAACATACAAACTATATTACTAAGGTTCTGTTCTGTTGATTTACTGACAAGTAAATTGTAGAATCTACTCTATCCACATTGCCTTATATGGGAAAGCCTCTCAAAAGGTATTTTTGCACAGGATATTTTTATACAGCAACTCACTCATTTTTGCAGCAAAGATGAAAATCTTTGGATCTCAGCTTTTTACATCCCAGCAT